CAGTTGTATACATGTGTCTCAGCAAGAGCAGAGCCCACAAGGGCACCAGCAGTGAACAAACCCTTCACACTAACCATAATGTGTATACGACTGCGGAGTAGTGAATTATCTGAAAGATCTTCAGAGTAGTTTCAGAGGGAGAACTTAAACAAGGATGGGCACCAGCTTTATATGAATGATAATCAGACTTTTGGATGGATAAAGATTTTACAGAAAGTCTCTGTAGCGGTGTAAAAAAACCGCCTCTGCAAGTTCGCAGCCGGGTGAAATTAAAGGTTAAAATGTACGTATGGGACTCAATCACCTTGCAGCAAACATTTTAAACCGTCACACTTACTTTTGGGTTATTCTTGACCTTTGTGAGTGTTTTGCTTTTGTCTTTGCCGTAGATGAGGTGAGACTTGAGTCCTCAACGATGTGAAGCAGCATGGTTGCACATGTACAGTCCCGATCAGAAGATAATTCAATTAGGTCCTTCAAGCTCCAAGACTCCGGACATGAGACTCAAGACTGGAAGAAAAACTTGGACCTCAAATTACAATTATATCCTGCATGATATGCAAGTCCATGTTTCAGCTACAATCCAAAGCGAGTCTAGTTAACTTTAAAATTTCCGCATAGGACACAAGACAAAGATTTGGATTATGCCGTGGCCGGACTCGGCAATTTTGGAAAATTTTTAAAGCTGCTGCTACTACGTAAAATTGGACGACGTTCACAGCACATGCCACCGCCGTTTGAACCTAAGCATGTCGTTGAGGGTAAAAAAAAGATTAGATTCATCAGATAATCAAGTCACGCTTGGTTCAATCATTGTTCTTTCAGACCAAGGATACTCACCAAAAGTTCAAACTAAGTACGTCATGTTGTTATATGTCCTTTAGGAATAAACTGAGCAGAAACCCAAGACCTTGGCCCAAGCATTTTTCTTGTCACCGACGTCTAAAATAACGTTATCTGAATAATCACACAACAGTTCTCTCGGCATGCAGGATAAATAGATTTTTGAGTGAAGATGGAGGAGGACATTTCCTTCCTTCTTTGAAAAACACCCGATCCGTACATTCTTTTGGGCGTGGGCACCATATGCAAAGCTCTCTAAGGTTGTTGCATGATGGCCTAGTCCCCTCCTTTGATCGCGATGAAAACAAGGTGTGCGTATCAGATTGATCAGCTGAGGCAGAACATTAGCTGGATGTGATATCAATTGTCCACACCTCAATTCTTGAGGCCATGAACTCGTGATGCAAGATTGTGGTGATTGGTACCGGTTTTTGACCTGTGTGTGCCTGGCGAAATCATATTCAATATCTCTCCCTATATAAACCAGTACGATGTACCCTTGTTTTTGATTTAAGGATGTGGCTCGCATAACGAACCCGATGAATTCCAAAGAGAAACTCATGGGACTATCAGTTGCAGTGGAGCTTTAAGCTTATTTTGTGTCATTGTTTTAGTAATTAATGCAAAGCATGAACCGCTCTTGATGTTGAGCTGGGAAGTAGCTGGGCTGTCAAAAAGAAATTTGCTAGTTGTAGATCCAAAGAAAAACCATCCTATCAGAGAAAGGCTCAAGTATGAAGTTATAATTGATGTCATATTTACTTTTTGACTATCTCATTACAACAACGTTTGAAGCCTTAGTGGTCCAGTTTATCACTGCGCTCCACCGTAGTGGTGGTTATTGTCTAGCTACTTTAAGGTACTAAATGAACGTGGTCGAGGGAGTTGATGCAAGGTTCAAGTATTACAGTGGACAGTTCTGTTTCATAGCTCCCATTCACCAACCGAAGGCCCTTTCATTAACGTTAATAATGAGGTAGTCTATACCTGATGCAATTAATCCGAATGAACGATGAAATTTCCGGGTATCGTAAAGAATGAGTTTTTATTGCTGATCTGTCTAATGTATTCACCAATGGGAGCTTCACACCCAACAGTTATGCTAGCCTCAAAACAAAATTCCATCTAGGTACATTCTTGAACATCAAGGAAGCCAAGTGTTTGAGGGATGCTTGGTGTTTACAGAGCAGTTGTGTCTTGTTCCTTCTTGTCCTGTGTCCTGTGTCCTCTGAGTTGAGTTTTGTGTTCCGTGTCCTGTGTCCTGTGTCCTCTGAGTTGAGTTTTGTGTTCCGTGTCCTGTGTCCTGTGTCCTGTGTCCCATGTCCAATGTCCCATTTTTTGTTAAGCGCTAACAGTGTCCCTTGTCCCATGCCTGATGTCTCAATTTAAGGATCTTGTGGCCAAACGAGAGCTCAGGCCTTACACCAGCATGTGTCTCTTGTCCCTTCTCCCAATGTGCCCCCTATACATCCAAACATCTCAAGTCTATATGTCTATATGTCTATATCATGTCTGCAAGACCGAGTCTAGTGCATGGTTGTAAAACTCCTATCAAGCCAAACCGCTCAGGACTCAAGACTCAGGACTACACTTGCAAGTGGCCGATCGATCAAGTAGCTAACAGCATTAATGACGGGGTTGACTTTATAAAGTCCGGGCTTTAAAGTGGTGATGACGAATATTGTTTTCGATGATCTAGACTAAGATGATCATACAGAAGATAATCACAACTTGGATGGCCAAGAGAGTAGCAGCACTTTCGCATTGTTTTTACAGCTAAGCAAGCTATTAATTATTAACTGATGGAACTACTAATGCTATAGACTTTACGGACAAAATCCTAATACTCAATTGTTCGTAATGAGCGGGAGAAATTGGGGTGTGCATATTGAAGATTTTTTTTTTTTCTCCACCAGTTCAAGTCTGAGGACTTAAGGTGATCGTGACCATCATGATCACGACGTCAAACTTGGATACCCTTTTTATGTAAATGGCCAATGGATTACATTTCTCCTGCATCCAAGGGCGTGTGTAATGACTTACTTAATTTGAACGTTGGGGGTGTTCAATAACATCAAGCCTTTGTGAACACTAGTCCGACAGGTCGCGTCAAGATTAGTCCATGGGACTTCATCATGGTAATATTAACCAGCCGCCGTTTCTAATAAACTGCAAATAAATTATCTAGATAATCAATATGCACACTGGCGAACGGCGTAAAGTGCACTGCAGAGAGACTACCTAGTCTCATAGCCGCAGCTGCAGATCCTAATACTACAGTGCAGCAATTGATCCTCGAGATACTCAAAATTGGAAGGTGCACGGGACTGTAACTTATAAACAAAGCTTGTCATTGGTTCCCTTTCTTGGCTTCTGTAAAAAAAGAGCCAATCATAGGGAGGGTCATAACCTTAAACAAATGTAACCTTCTGCACCCTACAAAGTCCTTCAAGTGCTTCATGAATCATCAAGCAAATATTAGTGTTTGGGACTTGGAAGCTGGGTGGGCCCACTCGGGTTCCAGTTTACGCTTACATGCAACCAATCAGGCTGTGTTCGTGGTCAAGAGTTTGGAATGTCGCTGTACTAATGTGATACCAATCAACTCACGTTTCTTTGGGCTTCTCAAAACACCGTTGTGCGCCATGAACGCTGCTGAGGCCTCGTCACCCTAAGCGACCAACACTAGTGGAATCCAGCTCGTCCATCCATTTCATGTGATTCAATCTGGCACATACAACTTTCGCTCCAGGTCTCTGTACATGTCTTAAGGCGCATTAAGTCCCATAGTGACCAGCACTAGTTTCAATAATTTTATCAGATTGATCAGTAAAATTACCTCATAAACTCACATGTAGTTAACACCCACGCCGTTTCCTAAAAACAAACTCGTTGAGAAGAATGCAATTCACAGCCGGGTGTGAAACATGAACTATTTGCACCTCGTACTCAACAATTATAAGCCAATGGAACGCCTTCATGTGAGTGGTTGAATTGTCGTACAAGATCAACTTTAAAAGTCTCCTTTGCTGAGACCGTTTTCATGTGTCCTGAGCCCTTGATTCGTAAACAGCCGTAATTGGTTTAGAGAACCAAAACCGAGTAGGGATCCGTGTAGGAGGGTACATATGGGGCCAGTTTAAAAGTTTGTACCGGTCCACCGGCCACTCGTAAGTGTTTCCAGTACATGGTTGTGTTAATGGAGGCTTAATTGAAGTGCTCAGCCAAACTTGCGGATGCGATATACTTTGGTGGAGAGTAGAAGAGGACCCATCAAGAGAGAGTGAGAGGGATTGATACACCGTGTGGTGGACTCCTGATGCCAAACTTTGGATGGATTAAAAGCTTCTTATATACTAGCTCTGGAGTTTATAAAACTGCTCATTAAGGACATGTTATTTGCTCATTTGATAGGTTCACTGTTGCTGCAAGTAATTTGCTCATTAATAGCATCAATCAGAGCGAATGAGTTAACCTCGGATGGTTCCCATATCTAGCTATAAGTTCACAGGTCCAATACTCGATGGAGGTGGTACCCTCGCAGGCTGACGGCCTCGTGATTACACTGAAGTATGTGAAGCTTCACCTGATGGTCGTAAATGGGTTCACTTAGAGATATTAGCTAGTGGGCCTCTTTTCGATAATTGTGTACGTACTAGTCTACGTCTCAATGGAGCTCTCCGAACCAACTTAGGCTAGTATCAACTCTATACATTCACATCCTGGATTCACAACAAGCACTGGTATCTTGTTAACCAGAAATGTATATAAAGCACCACCAGCCAGCCCTGGACCTTCAACCACATTGTCATAGCTGATACCCTGGATTCCCAGTCCCATGTCACTACTGACACTGCCAGTGAAACTTCCTATCGAGCATCCACCATCACTACGCAAAGATCCTGTTTTGATCATATACGCTCAGTGGATACAACAGATACCGACCGTAGCCTCCAGCAGCTCCTAACATATACTGAAACTCCTCCAGCTCTCGCTCTCCAAGGGGTTAATTGAATCCTCTTAAACAACGCTTTCATGATTGCTCATTGGGCACAAGAAATAATCACCACAGCAACGCAAAAGGGGATCACAGACAGCCCTCGGAACTTGCGGAGATACAGCCCAGATTCCGAGGCCGCGAACTCGTTTTACACAAATCGCTGACGCCTCTCGAGGGAGGCCTTGTACATGTTGTTATAGATGAAGAACAACTTGCACCGCAACAGTTGATTAAGAGAGCTTCCATCGCCTTATTATCAATCAATTGGGCCATAGAACCATGCAATACGTTGGTCGTGCTTTTGACTCGGTCTCAAAGACGTGGAATTCCATCAACCCTGCAACGCTTTCAGGAGCCATAGACGTTATAGTTGTCGAGAATGAGAATGGCGATCTTTCGTGTTCTCCCTTCCACGTTCGATTTGGCATACTGCAACTGCTACGTCCTTCCCAGAAGAAGGTTGACTTCATCATCAATGGGAAGATGACCAATCTGCCCATGAAGCTTGGTGACGGTGGCGAGGCCTTTTTCGTGTTTGAGGCGTCAAAGGACGTTGACGTTCCTAGTGATCTGATAACGTCGCCGGTGCTGTCAGCTGCAAGCTCGCCATCCTCCTCACCTCCCAGCTCACCTAAGAAGAATGACAGTTCTTTACAAGAGCCTGAGTATCTCGACATCACACAGTCAGCACCAGACCTCTCGAAACCGGTACACCCAGGTGAGTTCAATCCGATGAGCTCATCACCGACGTTGGCAGAGCCTGCGATGTCACCGTCTCGGGAGGCAACATTGGAGAAAGTCTACAACCTGTCGAAGAAGTTGACCAAGATCAACATACCAACAACGGTGGCACACAACGGAGATTTGTTTCTCGATATGGATGGATATAAATCCAACGCAAAGAACATCCACAATAATGACGAGATGATTAGAGATTTGATCAACGAAGAGTTTGGCAGCGACGTTGACGTTTCCCGATTCATCAAAGAGGATGACAAGGGGAACCTGATTTTCTCAACGGATGATTTGTCCATTACGAGTCCACCAACATCACCTGATTTACCTGTTGATAGCGGTTCGTCCGATACTGAGGAGCCCCAAACTGGCACATCTACGTCATCTTCAACGACGAATTACGTCAAGACTCTAAGATTAACGTCTGACCAGCTCAAGTTTTTGGATTTGAAACCAGGTGAGAATGACATCTGTTTCAGCGTCAATAAAGGGAAAGCACTGATCAACTCGAAGCTGTTTTTATGGAAACATGACGTGCCAATCGTGATATCAGATATCGATGGCACCATTACCAAATCAGATGCGCTTGGACACGTCTTGACGATGCTGGGCCGTGATTGGACGCACCCTGGTGTTGCTAAGCTGTTCACAGACATTGAGCTGAACGGATACAACATTATGTATTTAACTGCGAGATCTGTTGGCCAAGCAGACTCCACGAGGGCTTACTTACGGTCGATTGATCAGGATGGGGTACAGCTTCCAAATGGCCCTGTTATTCTATCACCAGATCGGACCTTGGCAGCGTTGAAAAGAGAGGTTGTCTTGAAAAAACCAGAGGTGTTCAAGATGGCGTGTTTAGGCGACCTGAAGAACCTTTATGGAGAGCTAGGAACTCCATTCTACGCTGGGTTTGGTAATAGAATTACCGATGCCTTGAGCTATAGATCTGTTGGCATACCAAGTTCGAGGATCTTTACGATCAACCCAGTTGGTGAAGTACACATGGAGTTGTTGGAGCTTGCCGGGCTGAAGAGCTCGTATGTGTATATCAACGAATTAGTTGATCATTTCTTCCCACCGGTCAGTACAGGTGTTGTCAACGAGACGTATACGGATGTCAACTTTTGGAGAGAACCGTTACCGGAATTGAGCGATTTGAGCGACGAG